CCACGGTACTGCAGTGTCTCGGGTTGATTCCCTCCAGGGAGTTTTGTTGTTTGTTGTTGGAACTTCTCTCTCTCCCCCATGTATACGGTCTGTATTTTAACCATTTCAATCCAATGAAGGCAAAAAAAAAAAAAAAAAAAAATCAATCATGGAGCTACTTCAGATCAGAGTGATATGGTCAAAAACTCACAAATGAGCTAGTAGGTTGAACAAAGATTTAGAACTGTACTAAATCGGCAATACAAGCTACTCCATGTTCAAATTAGGAAAAACTGCTATCAGGGTGCAAAATGAGCTGACAGGCTGATTTTGAGACATTCTTGGGGCCCGAATAACTAAGTTGTGACCAAGAGTTAATGTAAAATGTGTTGCTTTAAAAAGCATTTTTCAAAAAATGCAATGAACACTCCATTCATAACAGTATCTTTATTAATCATCATATATGCGTAGGAGTAAAATAAAAATTAGTAGTGTCCTCAGCCAGAGTGCCGTGTCTGCCATCTGTGTGGCATGAGGCAGCTCAGCAAACACGTACACCCTCCAGACACAACGCTGATACAACAGCAACAACACCAACTGTGAATAAGGCCAATGAAAGTCCTTCCTCGTCCTCCTTCCCTCCAGGAAGAGAGGCATCAGCTGCAGCTTCACCCTCCTGTTGCCGGGGACAACGGCACCCTCAGGCTTCGTGACAGCAAGTCCCGCCCCGGGAGCGTCACGCCAACCATGAGGGTGAGTTTGTCTGTTCTGCTCATGCACATAATGTATTCATCAAAACAAGCCTCCTTCCAGCCAGAAGTGCTCAGTGGGCTGGAGCCAACTTCTCACTCGTCAGATCCCCGGTCTGTCGTAGAGACCCCTCCGTGTGTCACGCTGCTTTTAATTACATTCAGTTTGGCCAGTGCAGATTGTATGGAGAATAAAAAATGTGGTTCCTACAAGATAAAATAAGTTTAAGGATGTGATCTTGAAGCATATATTTGACGTTGGACATTGAAAGTAACTTGAAGTTTATTGGTTTTCATATGTAGATATAAAATCTGCAGATTTTATATGAGCCTATATGATCATAGTCTGAGGCTGCAACTAAGCGCAGGATCCAGTGTTCATTAACATGCCTACATTCAGTCATTTTGGTGTCAGTTATGGACGAGTGATCACAGACCATCTGGGCTGGTAAATCTAAGCATTAATAAGTACTGAGACTGTTGTTACAGTATATGCCTAAAAACTTTGCTTCCAAATAAGCGTGATTTAAAGTTGTACAAAAAAACATGGTTTTAGAAGTTTCCTTGAACCTTTTGATAACTTCTCATGAATTCAAGCTGAACCACGGCTACTGTTCTCCATAAAGGTCAGTACAAACACTTTACAGCATACAGTGGGAGACTGATCATGATGTAAAGTATTTTTGGCATTGAGCAGGCCGTCTTCTTCCACTGTAACACCCAGGCAGGTATATCACATAGCACAGAAAACGTTAAAGAACAAGGCTGGTGATTTAAGACAGGTCACCGATATTTAGTTCATTTTTTAATTAATTTCTTTAAACAGCGGGGCACCTCAGATTTTAGAAAACGTTGCTCAAACAGGAGTAAATGGTGCATTTGTTTGGGACTATTTTCAGCTGCGAGTTAATATGCATTTTGTGCTGTAGTTTACGGAAACAGGACAGTATATGCGAGACTGACGCAGAACAAACGTGTTCATCATAATGAAGGAACATGTCAACCAGTGCAACTTACTGATGTGCTTTTAATCGTTTTGGGCAACAATGGAAAAAGAAAAATATCCATCAGCAGCCTTATATTTTGAATAAATACGCCTCGGAGTCTTAATCTAAGTGGAAAAATAACAGTTATTTCATCATATTGATTTTGATTTATGCCATCATTAAACTAAACGGACAAAACTTGAATGCACAGATTCATTTTGTAACACTAACATATGAACTATGCTGGTTTTTACCAACAGAGGAAACACGTCGAGTCTCCAACTCGTGTCACCAGCATCCCCAGCACCGGTACTTACGACAGGAGCCTCTTCCTACCCCACTCCTCCTCATCGTCTTCCTCCTCATCCTCCACCCATCAGCACTCTTCCTCGACCCTCCCCCACCAGTCCACCTCCCACCCTCAGACCTCCCCCCACTACTCCACCTCCTCTCTTCCGCACAAGCACACGTCCCTCTCCCTCAGCCAACAGTCCTCCCCCTCCGCCCCTCGCTCCACCAGATCCCGGACCTCCTGCATCCCTCCCACCCCAGCACCCACCGCCCCGCTCCCCGTCTGCCCCTCGCCACAGATGGGCATCCGCTACGTGTCGCCCTCCTGCCAGGAGCCACACGTGCACCTGCAGGCCCAGTCAATCAGGTATGAACCTTTTAATTTCTTGGCTGAGATGCAACAAATCTAAAAGGAAGGGAATGGGAAAGCAGCCCACTCACAACTCAGATTCATTTATTTCAACTCATGAAGAGTTTAGCATTTCAGCAACTGCCTTCAGAATAAGACACCAGTCACCTGAAACTAACAACATGTCCACATAATCAAGAAGTCCACAAGCACAAACCAGGAAAATACAGTTAAAGGAGAAAACAATCTTACATTCAAGTCAGAAAAAGAAACCACAAAAAGTAGTTTATCTACACAATTCAATAACAAAAGGTCAAATTAAGAAAGGAAAATTATTTCTAAATATCTTTTTTAAAGTCGCTGTATGAAAAATACAGCGAGAAAGGAGAAAGTCACCCCAAAAAACTATACAGGCTGTTTTTTCAACACTTAATCCATGTATGTGATACTGACTGGGAAGGATCATCATCTTTCATGACCGGGCGTGTGTACATACTGTATCAGTATATCCGTATTTACAGACCAATCACACATAATGACCTCCTGCTGCTCATAACATACAGTAAGTCTCCCTTTCAGTCAGCTCTGATCTGTCGAGGAATCCACTTTATGGACTCCACTGTGTGTTGTGACACCTTTGTATCAGAACCAGCATCAACTTTTTTTTTTTTAAACAATTTGACCTGCTGTACAGTAGCTCGTCTGTTGGACTGGACCACATGGCCCCGCCTTCACTTCTCACATGCATCAATGAGCCTTGGCTGCCCATTGGACAACTTTTGACCTGTTTTGACCACTACAGACCGGGAACACCCCGGCCTCAGACTGTGGTGTCTTCCTTGTGATCAAATCGAATGTCAAAAATTGAAATCAGTGCATTTGAGTGGTTGGTGTGCGTTTTCCCCTCAGTTTTAAAAATAAGCACAATGCTCTGAACCTCAGCATAATGATATACTAATTCTGATTTTTATGAAGTCTACATGTGTTTCTTCTGTTTTTTAGGGGCCCATATCTGGAGCAGAGGGGGACCGAGGGGCTAAAACAGGAGTGGTTCACCAAATACTTCTCCTTCTGAGCACACACACAAACAAACACACACACACACACACACAAAAACACGCACAGCAGCTGCAAGTACATTTCCTCATATACAGTTCATTGCTTCTTATACACATCCGTTTGCTTCCTACTAACACAAACACACACACACACAAAAACAAACATAACCACATCAACAGACATATGGGCTCATCACCAGCAAGGCCATCTCAAACATTGCCTCAAAGCTCAACCAAAAAGTGCTTCTCAAACACATGCCTGACCTCTTCTCAGAACATAGGCCTGCCGGATCTTGTTTGTATAGTTTGGAATGTGTCCATATCTTTTTATTCATTTATTTTTTATTTAACGTGGTCTTCCTTTTTTTAAATGCAACCTTTGCTCTGATCTCATCACACGGTTATACCAGGCAAATGTACATTTCTTAAAAATCAACAACCAAGTGTCTCTTCGAGTATGGAAGCATTCGACGTATTCAATCAAGATCCTCGACAAAATGGACACACGCGACTCACCATACCAAAATGAAGCTTGTTTCAATGCAAAAATGTATGATAATCTTAAAGAACAAATTGAATAAAATATTTTCTTTTTGTTAAGCGCTTCTTTGTACACTGGTGTTACAAATTACAGAATATATAATTTTATAATGCTTTGTAAATTTTCTTTAACATTGAATGACTTTCCAAAGAAATATTCTGACTTCTCGGGACGACCCCATCTGAAGGTTGTAAATAATGAAATTAGAAAAACTTAAAATAATTGTGTATGTAGTAAATCAACACAAACAACCCTCCTTTGCCTCACAGTGGTTTGGTCCACTGCCTGCTTTTACATCAAAGATCGAATCTCTTCAGTAGTTGTGGAACTCCAGTAACGTTAAGCAGGCTGGGCAGGCTATTTTATTCACTTTAAACATCAGATAAATTATTCTTTTCTCTTCAATACAGATGATACTGAGTCATTAATAATTGAGTCAAGTTGGGTTTTGCTCAATAATGGTAAGTGGCAGATAAGTGGGCTTACTGCAGTTGAAGATATAAGTAAGAGACATCCTGTGTCCCAGACCTAATATACTATGTGGAGGACGCAAGATAATTTAATAATTATACTATAACCGCAGGGTGAACCTATTTAAACAACTTTTGTTTTCTGTTACTGGCCAGATAAAAAGACAGAGAAAAGGAAAATGGATATAAGATAATTTCAGTGCACCAAAACGCCAAGTAAGTGCAAAAGGTCCCCATGTTAAGGCGATTCAGTAACATCATGGTCTCCATGCATCATGGTCTCCATGCAACACCAATAGTAGTAACGCTTTCCGGTGTGTACACATATCCTAAACAAGTACTCCTGCTGACAGAAAATAATTTTTTTAAATTTTACTTTTCTTTTGTTGAGAAATACCTCTAAAAACGCTTCACATTAAAGTACAGTCATTTTTATATCACAATATTGATACATTTTGAGAAAGCGCATTTTGTGATAAAATCAATTAAGAGACTGTTGTTGGACCTAATCAGTTATACAAATATGTAGCCAATGCAAGGACAGACATAAGTAAGCTTCATTAGGAAATTTTAAAGACACTATTTTAAAATAGTCTTTTTAATAATCTTTTCAAACGACATCTGAAAACACTGTACATTAAGTGACCAAGAGATCAATAACTGTCTTAAATTGTCAGAGGTCAAGAAAGGATGTCGGGCAGACTGATGACTAAAGAAGACCTTCATACTAAAACAGTCTGAGTGTGTTCAGTGCTCACATGCTACTGAAACATGGGGCAGTTTTGCAGCGCCTCAGTGGCAGAGCTGTACTGTAGGACGTTGTCATGGAAACGAGTCAGCTCCTCTCGCATGTACTTGGCGCCCCTCCCTCCTGAGCCCCGGTACTTCATGGACAGCAGCTTGGAGCACAGGTAGTGGAGCCACAGCACGTTGGTATGGGGGTGGTAGCTACTCCAGTTGTTTCTGTCAGGAAAGAAAAAGCAGCTTGGCATTAACCCTGAGATGTACCCAGTACCCAGCCACAGCCTGTTCACCCTGCTGGCGCCTCACAACAGATAAAGTATCTGCAGTCGTACCATCAGACTTCAGAGCAGCTTCATCTCTTATCCAGAAAGTCCACTGAGTCTGGCTGTGTCTCCTTGCTGCTGCTTACAGTTTGGTTCCATCCTCCGCCCAGCGTCAACTTCCACTAGAAGCTCTCAGATGCATTTCAGGAGCAGACCACATTGTGGGTTGTTTTTAATTTATCATTTTTGTGCTTCTACTATGCCTAACGTTACCGGCAACGGCTCTCTGCAACCACTTTTTTGGTCCGTTATCTGCATGGCTGCATATCCCACGGGGAGCATTTCAGAATCTGAATGTTTAGATATTGTTGATTTGGTATTTAGGGCTTGCTTTTTGTGCGTCTAATATGATCAAGTAGGCTATGTAGTTAAAAGGTAAATCTTTTGCCTATTTTAACGATCGGAAGATCTGCACGGGGTATTTTATTTTGAAGAGTGAACGGATTCTCTATGCCGTTCTGTGTCTGACTCGATTTCAGTCAAAAAAAAACCATAGGCTACCTGCTGTGTACTGTCTGTGGAGCGGAGCGCCGCTTTTGGGACTCGCTGCGGCCGTGTCTGGTGGACTCACAATGACTAGAATGGCCGCAATTAGCTCCGGGAGCCGCGGTGCAGCCATAACTAGGGCTGCAGCTAACGTTGAGTATTCGAAGCTGCTGAACGATTCATCGATGCGTCGTTTAGGGAGTACTTTTGCTTGGCGACAGTGGCGCCCCTGCCCCCCCGTAACAGGATCAGCTGTGCACGTTTACAGGTTATAGATATTTATTAAGCCTTTCGGAAATTCATAGTGTGTCATACAGCAAACATCAGACCAAAAACCAGACAGCTGCTTTACAAACACAAACATCACCCGAGTGCAATACAAGTTATACAACAGGCTCGTGCAGACTACACGACTTTCAGCGTCGGCCGATGGCCATGCGGTTCACACTACACAACTTGCTGTCATGTGACGGGGATCTTAAAGTCGTTGTGGCATTCACACTACATGTGACAGGGTGTCACACACTACACGAGCTGACTGCAGCTGTGTCACCCGACGCTGGTCTCCAAACCACGTTTAGTCAAGAAAACACACATGAAATGTGAAACGGGAAATGAGCGATCCTGCACACGAAACAGCTGTTGTTTGTTATTATAAAGATAACAGTTATAAAGACAAAGAATCTGGCTGAAAGGATGGATTAGCACGCGCAGGTAGCAGGGATTGTCTGAGCTACAGAGAGAGCTGGAGGTGAGTTAAAAGGTGCAGCTCCCCGACACCCAGTTAACTCATGACTGTGAGGTTACAACTCATGGCCCAAAAAGGAGAACAACAAACGCACGTGTGCACATTTTCAGCTGAGGACTGCGGCTTACTTTGGTTAGCCTTCAACTCAGCAATCAATCATGATTTCAGTTAAATGCTGAAGTTGCTGTTGCCTTGTCTGTGGTCCGCTGGCAGAACACCGGCTTCTTTCTGGTCAGCTGCCGTCGTTCTGTTGCCGAGGCGACATTAGTTTCGTTTTACGGTGGATGGACGGTAACATTACAGAGTTGTTGTTTTCTTTAGCTTGAAATAATCCCATACTTTGGACACTTTCTTTGTCTCTTGCTATTTTCTCTCTCTTCCTCCACTTTGCAAACAGCTCCATCATAATCATGTCTTGTTCGCAGCGTAAGCGCAACAGTAATAAATGTCCCTGCAAAACACTGTGCTGTATAGATAAATGGATTAAACGAAGCATTGATGCAAAAAATTTGTGTCAAAGCATTTTATTAATCGATTTAATCGATGAATCGTTTCAGCCCTAGCCATAACGCCACACAGGCGGACTCAGTGGACTTCGCGTGTTAGACCCCTTAATTCATCCTCAGCACTCCACCATGTAAAATTGTTTTATTTATATGACTTGTTTTATTATTCACCCAGATACTGTATATAATTTTATATATAACGTTTGTTTTTGTAAGCAGCATTAAGTGAACTACAACTTGATTTCAATATACAACCCTGTGTTGTAAAATGATAAATAAATCTTCCTTGCAGTTTAATATTTTAAATGAGCAGGATTATCCACAAGATACCACAATCATAAATGTTCAATAAACATAAATGCTCCTGCCTTTGGTATTTCTAACTTATCTGCTGACTTGGATTTCTAATTGACATTGATTCATCCATGTCAAATCAATAAGTCGTCCTATGCTGTCACTTTTATCCTATCCATTACAGGATATAGTTCTTTTTATAGGTGCTCCATGTGACACCTTTACCGCACAGAGAAACACCAGTTACATAGACACATAAATGACACTGACCCATTTTCCTGTCTCATCATTCTGTAGATATCAAACTGGTAATCCCCCTGGCCCATGAAAAGCTCCTCATCCTTCGAGATATCGCAGGACACTGTCAGATCATCTGGAGGGAAGAAAACACGTGCTTGTCGTTACTGTTCATGATTTTACTGGGGCTAAATATTCTGTGCACCAAATATGACAAGGGGTTCAAAGAATAGCTGACCGATTTCTAGTCTGGAGAGAGAGTAGTCAATGATGCGGACCAGCACCCCTTTAGTTTCCAGAGAGTGGACTGCTCCGTTCAGGAGGAAGCTCCCCGTCTTTTGCTTGGTTGTTTTGACCAGCACATTGCCCCAGTGGAGGTCCCTGCAGTAAACAGCACGGGGGGATAAAGTTGCTGTTACAAGACACCGACAAATCATCCATCACACTGACACCACATACACACCCAACTGCGTCACTCAGTTGGTGCAACACTGCAACGCCACATTTAATACCTGATGTGGCAGTAAAGTTCAAGCTGATACTAAATAACTACACAAAAGTATTTGTGGTCATAGGACGCTTCCAACATCCTATTTTTATATTATTTTATTTATTTAGTTAACATAAGCTCTGAAAACAGAAATCCACAGATGGCCATTATGAACTTTATAGCAACTAGAGCCGAGAGCCTTCAATAAATTAGTCGATCAACAGAAAATTATTCATTATCGTTCGTTATTGATGGATGAAGTTATTTTTTTAAGAAAAAAAAAAAAAAAGCCCAAATTCTCAGGTTCCGGTTTCTCAAATGTGAGTAATTGCAAGCTTTCATTGTCTTTTATGGTTGTAACGTTTGAAGACCTCATCTTGGCCTCAGGGAAACTGTGATGGACACTCTCTCTTTTCGCTGACATGTTAGACTTTATATACATTGCATCCTGTCCTGAGCCCTGATCCACGCAGACAATCACAGCTACTATAAATTGTGAGAGAGAGTGTGTCTGTGTGCGTGCGAGTGAGTGTACCTGTGTTCAAAATGTAGCTGCTGCTCAGCAACAGCCATGGCAGCAGTAACCTGATGAAGGATGCTCTTCGCCACCCCTAAAGACGCCAGCTTGACAACACAATAAAGTCTTGAGGTTAAGGACTGCATTTGTACTCTTGCACAACAATAAAACAGTCAGTGTATAGGCTAATATATACAAAGACTTATTTTACCAATGAATACACTGCATTTACAGATGCTCAGCTCCAGCATTCATATTTAAGGCCTAACTGACATTAAGTTATAATGACTACTATTTTTCTGCATGCAGTCTCTTTATTAATGTTTGAGCACGTTTTTACAGCTAGTGTCATGTGCAAATGTAATGAGCTAAAGCTGGTGTGATGGGAGTAGAGAGTAATACTTCTGTTTGAGACCAGAGCACTCGAAACTCTGCAGTAGTGAAACTGGCAAGAAATGAAAGAGCAGACTGCAATTTATTAAAAGGAATTTCAGACCAAATGAAATAAAACTGCACTTGTAATTGTAAACATATAACCCAAGCTGAAGCTCTATCTCCGTGTGCTAGCTTCAGCTTTTTCAGAGAGAAAGAGGCAGAGAGATATTTTGAGCTGTCAGGACTGATAAACGCTCAGCATTGCTGCAGAGCACTGTACGGCAGAGGGAAAGTATTGAGTGGCCATCACTCTACACACTGACGCGGTGTGCTTACCGTTCCATTGCTGTTCTCTAAGTCAATGCCTCCAAACTCAAACTCCAGGATTATGAACAACTGATCCTTTTTAAAGAAATCTAAACAAAGAGAAAAAGAGGGACCCAATGAAACAGACAAAAACATGGTCCTAGACATAGATTTTCCCCTGTAGAAGGGAGTCGACCTGGTAAAGGCCATTTTCCATCAGCCACTGCAACCTGGAAGCCACGTTGTGCTGCAATTCTCTTCATTAGTGAATGCATATTAAATGTGAAAATTAAACAAATGTGAACAGGCTTTGCTCTCACTGACCTGGTCTGTCATTCTCAGAGCCTTTCTGCTGGTCGAAGGTGTCCCAGGCTTTCATGAAATCTGGAGGGTAGCAGCCTTGAACGCAGTGGAGGCTACGAGGGAACACGTCAAGTCACATTAGCACTCAAAACTACAAACAGACGCTAAGAGGCAAAAAGACAAAAGACCACAGACAGTGCTTACTCATTGAGACCAATAAATCCATGAGTCTGGTTCTGCTGCTTCTCTTTCAGGCTGCTCAGCTCCCTGACACAAAAACAAATGATGCTGTTTAGTTAGCGCTGGCCACAAGTCAACACACTCACATTTGATTTACAACTTTGTTGTCATGATGTCTTTAATGCACATGTTATACTGAGACTGTATTGTAGTATCCCAGCAAGGAGAGTCGTGTGATTTATGTACTACTTACTTTGAAATAATAATCTCATGGAGGATCTCTCCAAAGGTCTTCTGGTCCTCTCCATTCACCTTCTCACTGCCCTCTAGTGGAATGATCTGTCAAGACAAGAACCACTATTTTAATGCAACACACACACACAGCGCAACTGTTTGGTTCCTGTGTTTGAGCAAATTAACATTACACCCCAGAGTATGGAGATTAACTCTTTACCTAGGAAACAAATATGTGATCAAACATTTTAAATTCAAGGTATACTCACTGGCTTTCTCCCCCCTAGAGCTATTGACCGTTTCCCCACAGCCTTCTTCAGCAAATTACATACAGTATGCTCAGGTGTTGTCACATGTTGTTAACTACAACTGCTTGTTATGTGACCAAAATAAGCAAGTTTCATTCAGTAAAGACGGACATGGAATACAGTCAAAGGGGTGGCGGTTAGTCCACCACTTGCATCCCTATGTACAAAGGCTGTGTCCTTATCGCAGCGGCCCAGGTTCAATCTGACCCATGTCCCTTTGCTCCCAAAGATATATAAAAAAAAAACCTTGAGAGTTTAGAATATTTAGTGACAAATTCTGAATTTCTTACCAACAGGGAAGTCACACCCCTCTTTGAAAATAAACTTAAAATTGTATCAACGGCATTGTATCAACACTTAAGATGCAAAATGGTTTATATCACATTGTTAGATCTTAGGCAACACAATGCAAATCACACAAACTAATGCACACTTTTGTTTTCTTTTTTTTTTTAAACATACTCACATACCTTGAGTGCAACAGTGTCTCCTGAGGCATTGGTGGTGGAGAAGACCTCACCGAAGGTCCCCCTCCCCGATCTTCACACACTGTTTCATTCGCTGAGGAAGTATACACTCCTCCCACGGCAGAGGACGCTGCTGGCCACACTCGGCATACACCTTCTCTGCATCCGACAGATCTGCATCCTCACACTGAGGCAGGAGGGAGGAGGTAACACATAAAGACAGACAGGAGATTCGTATCAAGTGTAATAACCTATTCAGTCAAACACAGAGCGTGTGGTACAAACTTGAAAAGCATCTTATGCTTCACTGCATCAGTGTTTGTACGTTACTCTGTGACTCAACATGAACTTTTCATAAGCCACTTGACAGGATGTGTGCTCTCATGACTGTCATGGTTGCATATGTGCACTCTTACCGGAGAACTGAAACTCAGCAGCTGTGACCGGAGGCGTTTGGGGAGCGGGGTCCGAAAGGGTGTGGCAAAGAGATCCTGGCTGACATCAGCTAGCGCCGCTCTTCTCGGAGAGCCTGCACATGAACTCCTCGGAGTGAACAGCACTAAACAGAGGGAACAAGGGACAGGACACAAGGAACAAAAATTAAAGGAAGGAAAGATCAGAAGTACACAATCATTGAAGTGCCAGCTGTAAATTAAATACAAAAATGTTAATAGTCCCAAATAACTGAGGGAGAAACTACAATTTAGTGGTGCGCTCGTGTGTTACCCATTCCCTTGCGGTGAACAGAGAGGGCAGCTTTGAGTCGGCTCCAGGTTTGTGTGGTAGGTGTGAAGTCAGCCAACAGAGATGACAGGTTGAGCAGACTCGCTTTCACCGGGGTGGAGAAATTCATTGCAGTTCCCATCAGCTCCTGCGCAGAAGCGAAAACAATACACACATTTAAAGAAAAATCCAAAAACATAACACACAAAACATTCTCTCTCTAACCTTTTGTGATACTTAGCCATGCAGATAATTTGGGGTTTTATTTGCTCAGGTTTTGACATATTAGCCGCCTGTCCATTGGATGGAATACAATTTTGTTTGTGGCATTCACAGCAATTAAAAAAAATTTTACCTTTAAAAACCTAACAAAGTGCACTTCAAGACACTGTCCCAGTTAAACCTGCAGTGCTGAACTTCTGTCTCCCCCTTCTGACGGTGAGAGTAACTACACCACATAAAGTAAAACACAGTTGATGCATGCTTTTTTAGGCTCTGCCATACTGGGTTGCTGCGGTCTCTAAAATTGCTTCCTCCTTCAGCTCTAAAAAAACAATTATTCCTGGCTGGCATAAAACACAGCGTGGGAATGTGGCCATAGACACCTGATTCAACAACTCCAGTATACAGAGAGATTTACCTGGTGTTGATAGGGTTAGGTAGGTCCCACACTCTTACTTTTACACATTGTTAGTGAGGACAATCCATAGACTTTACTGATAACACTTTTTATTCAGAAACTGCGTGTAAGAAAATAACCTGGTCATGGGTAATGTTTTAAAGGTTGTTTTTATTAACAAAAACTTTCAGTGGCGTAAGCAGGGGTCTCATTTATAAAACTATACATAGAATCCTCACTAAAAGTGTATGTGCGCCCAAAAGCCAAAAATGGCGTACGCCAAAAAATATTCAGACTTATAAAACTGTTCGTACGCACAGTTGTAAGCAAGTTCCCTTTATAAATCACAATCAACTTGAAATGTGGCGTATGTGAGGGAGCTCCATGGCCAACCCTTCAAACCGGAGCTCCACCCCTTTATAACCGATCTGCAGGAAGGGGCATCCCTCTTGAGTAGTGACGTCGCTGGCTGCAGGGAGACACACACACATGCACCCCGGTACTAATTTGGATTCCCCTCCTTTGAAAAGAGATTAAACCAAATACACTCCACTTGTGTTTAAACATTTATTTAGGCTACACAAACAGTCCACTCACTTAAGAGGCTGCCCATGAGTTAAAAGAAATATGACTTGTTGTAAATGACATAAAAATAATGTTATATTTCCATTATGTGTTTTTACAAGCAGCACATCACATCCACATTCTGGCGCACAGCATTAGGCTCAAAAAGGCAACGAACATCTGATAATAGGCAATATGAAACTATGCTCTCCTATTTGCTTGACTGACGCACTGAAAACGGCATCAATTTAAATGTAATTTTTCCTCCTGTTCACCTTATTTATGAGAATAAATTGCACTGCATGCAAGTATTAATTAATGATTCCTGACTGAACTGTACAACATATTTGAGGCGTTCTTTTGCAGAAATAGATATCGGTTTGTGTTTATTATCCTAAATCTGGATCTTTTTGTGTGCTGCAAATGATCTTAAATTGTGTTTTTTGCGCACTTCAGGGAAAGTCAAACGGGTGTTTGTTTATTCAGAAAGGCTTTAAGCCTGCAATACTCAGAGGTGATATTTCAATTTATTTTACACAATAGTAGGCCTACTCATTTCAAACCGTTTCGTCCTTCTGCCATGTGCGTAGCCGTTTCTCATTTCTCCTCCTGTGCCTACACATGGTTCAGAGTTTACTTACAGGACCGCACATTCTCCCGTCAAGTTTGTTTTTTATAGATCACAACCTTAGCTTCGGAAGTGGTGTACGCACGTTTCCTGTTTTGTACATACGCACCATTTATAAAGGAGACCCCAGGACCTTATCAGGAAAGTATCCCGATTGCTGTGGTATTTTCTGAAATGTCATTTGTCCATGCTTTGAACCTCACAAAAATCTGCTGTATATTAGAGAGGCATCATGAATCTTTTGTCCCCATTTGCACAGACAAATTCTGACCTCAGTGCGGCATCACGTTAAATGCAGATATGTACAATCACTGGTATTCCCTGGCAGAATGGATAGACGCCAAGATGGTTTCAGATAATAATGAATATTTGACAAATAAGGTGATGTTTAAATGTTTTCTTGTGACAACGTGAAGAACGTCACAGAAAGAAACATTCCCATTTGGTGATAATTTCTTTTATAGTGATGCTAATTGTCCACTTTACCAGCAGCCTGTTGTACCAGCTGTGTGTAGGTTCAAACGTAGTCAGGTTATAATGTAAATTATTACCAAGAAGTGCATTACTAAAATAAAAGCAGTTGCACCACAGAGATCAATTACAATGCAACACTACGTAACTAATTAGTTACACATGCCTCAGGGTAGGTGTAAATCATAAAAGTCATCATAATGTCACATCATAATGTTTCATTAATTGCAACACAATAATCCAGAGAGTCCTAATATATTTATATAACATTTGAATAGCAATCTAGCTTACTATGATGTGCTACGATGCCAAGTCGCTCATGCCTGCCAGAAAGCTAATGCAATAACCATGAGGATGAAACGCTTATCTTTGATTGGCCACTTGCTTTAGTTATGACTTTACGTCCAAATTTGTTATGTTCTGCCCCAAGTAATCGCGGTGCAACCAATTTTAGTAGCTGATTTAGTTACAAACTAACTCGTAGTTACTAAGCCTCCAGAGTCAAATTTACACCCTAACTTAGGAGAGAACTTAAACGCAGCTATTAAAAGTCTTCACTTTGCTAATTTTGTCTGATAACTGCTAACCATTAACTACAGTACTCAATAGATAGACCTAATCTTCCAGCAGGACTGTGCTGTGTTTGTGTGCATGCTGTTCTCACCCTTGGCTTTTGGTGTTGTGTGGAGATCAGCTCATCGATGCTGCAGTCCACGGCCTTGTTGCCGCCTGTCTGTGCAGTCCTGGCTCTGAACACGTGCATGCTGGCGTTGCCTTTGTTTTTCCAGCGATTCACACTCAGACCGCTCACACACGCCTTCCTTGTCGTCCCAGGTCGGTCCGCGGACGTGCTCCTCCTCTTCTTTTCTTTAAGAGCTAGGGAGGGCTTTCTTTTTCTTTTTTGGGGAATGTTGCAAGAGTCCTTTACAACTTCTTCTTTGTCTGAAGTGATCTTTACTTCAGAACTAGTTGAGCCTCTTTTTTTCATCCTGATTTTCATGGCGTAAGTGTCTTCATTACAGTGATTAGTGTCGCCCTCAGATTGGTGGTTATTTTGTGTCTGGTCCTCACGGACTGAGTCCGACACAACTGTGGGTGATTTAGGTTTTGGGTCTTTGCGCTGCAAAATTTCTTTCAGTTGTGATAAAGTAACTCTCTTCATCTCAACAATGAGTTTGTCAGCTAGACATTTCTTCTTCAGCACCGCTGCCTTTTCTTCTGTTTCTGATGGTGTCTGGGCTTTCGCACTGCTGTTTATTGACGCCATCATTCTCTCAGTGATTTCTCCAGTATGTGTGAGATCTTCTGGGTCGTCAATGTTATGTGCACGGCCATTTTCAGACTTGTTTGCATCTGGATTAGCGGATGTCTCATCACAAGTCAAACCCATCTCTTTGTGCTGCATGACCCCTTTTAGCTGCCGAACAGTCAGTTGTGACAAAGCACAGTATTTGAGCCGAACGGTGCATTTCTTAGTAAGACATGTGTCCTTTACTGCTACAGCATCCTCTTCAGTAAACAGTGCTTGCACAGGGCTGTTGGCTGGAAATTGTGTGCCCATGATGCACTCAGAACTGCTGTCTGTGTGGAAGCTAGACTCAACATAAATGACTGACGCCGACTGCTCCATGGATTCCATTGTGGATGAGTGTTCAGCTGACTGCTTACAGTCAACTGATGGTGAATTGTTAGTGCTTTGACTGTCAGTCACTGAAGCTGCATGTTCAGGAGACTGTAAATAATCCCTGGTGTTATTGTTAGTAACAGATAATTGAAGATTAAATGATGGTTCTGAAGACTGTGAAATGTCAATTGTCTGGCCAATGTCCACAGACCGTGGATGTCCATTTGTTTGCCAGCTGTAGACTGAGCCTGAAGATCCCAAACAGGAGGAGTAGGTTGTTTGACTGCATAGCTGAGTCACAGTGAGGTTGTCCAATCTTTCGAGCTGCACTGTGCAGCGCTCGGTCAAACATTTCTCCTTCAGAGCCTCTATCAGCCACTCTAACCCTCCTGCTGCTGACACAAAACAACTGCTGCTATCACTCTCATTTGTACAGAGTAGATTTAGACTTGGCAATTCCCCGACATTCTTGTTTTTTATGTCTTCACTGTGACTTTCGGCTTCCTCATTACAGCGACGTCTCTTGTTAGTGCGCTTGGGCTCCATAAATAAATCACCAGATGGTTCTTGCTCACCAAGGCTGGACTGCGGCTTCTCCTCAGAACAAAGCCCAATGGGTGGTGCAGAAAGTCGTGGGGAGGTGGGCTGACCCGGTGAATCCAAGTCTTCTTGGAATGTGCTTAAGACACCTATAGAGCTAACTGACATGGACGGAGGGGTGCAAGACTGATTATTGATAGATACGGCTTGAAGGTGGGGCCGTTTTCTGAAGGAGTCTGCTGAGGGTGTAGAACAAAAAATGGGTTTCCTGGGGCAGGGTCCGAGGCTGTGGTCTGCCAACTCATTGAGGGAAATCTCCCGGAAGGGGTTGGTGGTATAGCTGGCAGTCCCTGCAGCGTTCATCGAGTTCTCTGCACTTGAAACCACAAATGCTGGGGGGACCCTCCTCTTCCTAGAAGGCCGAAAATTCCTACTGGAACCAAGGGCTCCAGAAGCAAAATCATCTGAAGAGTTGAGTGGATTGTATGTTGCTTTAGGGAGTTTGGGTTTGGTTGGTACAGTACATCTGCGGCGGGTTACAAAGCGGCCTGCAGAAGGAAGATGAACACTGAGAAAAAGAAGAAGAGAAGGAAGAAAGCTAATGGTTACAGCATTTACTGAAGACATTTAGCTTGTGTTCAAACTGTCAATGCGTTTTTCTCATGCAGAGCCAAAGTTGGTCTGAAAGCACTCTTCAGCTAATTATTGAGGGGATCAACAGACTGAGAGCCTGAATGCTTACTTAGAGTCTTCCTCACTTCCGCTGGTCTTTGGAAGCTGCTGGCAATTCTGCCTCATCAAGACTCCTGGCACAGATGCATGCCGGCTTTTCCTGTTGACGCGCAGAGACAAACATCATTTCAGAAACTCATTAACATACAGAAAACTAAATTAGGGAGCACACAGATATACATTAAAAAGCGCAGTTTTAAAAGTACAGACAGGAGAAGTCACAACAATTCACAACAGATTTACATGATAAACGACAAGGGATGGGTGATCGTTCAATATTATAAACAATATATCATGATACATAACCATGCCAAATTTATCATTTCCAAAAACAACATTTTAAAGGCTGTATACTGCCACCATCAATCTCTACAAATCAAACACTTGAAGGGTTATGGTTGGGATTAGGACCACAGTAAGACTATTGGTCTGCCAATCCTACAGAGAGAGGTGGCAGAGGTGGACAGACATAAGAGGAAGGGCTGCCCGAGAGGCTCCAATCTGGGAACAAAGTTCAAATCAGAGCAGTGTGTAGTGTGACACAATTCATCAATATATCAAAAAGTCAAGCGTGAGAAAATTACTCTATTACTGACAACTTGTACTAAACCTGGTTTCAGTTTCTCTAAAGTGAAGATCTTATGCTTTTCTCTGTAGCACGTCATAAAATTTTATTGTTTGTGTGGATTGCCGATCAAATACAATAAACTTGAACACCTTGTTTGTGGGCCCTGGGAACTGATGGGTATTTGTCTTTTATAATTTGTTATTTATATATATATAAAAAAAAAAAAGCAGTCCTGGCCCTGAGATCTCAAATAACACATCCATACTAAGTGGTGGGTCTGCTGCAACTCTTAAGTCCTCTGTTATTGCCACCAGTAATGTCAAATGTCTTGCTTTCAGACACTGTAGTGATAACGAATATCACATAACATATAATAAATCCCTCAAAACTCTGCACACGCTGACATCCCTTTACTTTTTCATAATGTGTTGTGCTCATGCTTGTTTGTGCACAGACCTGGTTCTCTTGCTCTGCAGAGTGGGCTGAGGACGGGGAAGAGAGGGGCTACTGATGTTCTCTTCATCACTGCTGGTCTCTGTCACACTTAGCACGGCCTTTTTCTTGGCAGGACGTGGCGCTCTACGACAAGCAACACTAGTCTGCTTCTCTCTGTGACATTAAGAATATAGGTCAGAATGTAGGTCAGGGAAAAATTACTTAAAGACATTAAATGCTGAAAAAACAAAACAAAAACAAAAAACACACACACTTCTAGGATATTTAATGACATTACTCAAAATTGACGGCTGCATATCTGTTCACAGAGCTGGTTCCAGCTGGCTGAGGACAGGAAGGAGGGGGGATATTCTCCTCATCAAAACTCTTCTCAGTCAGAAAGAGCATGGCCTTTTTCTTGGCAGGACGCGCCGCTCTACGACTAGCCACGCTAGTCTTACTCTCTCTACGACATGAAAAACAGATGAACAAGTTAGGAGCAGTATGATATTGAACATAAGACCAAGTAGATCAAGAAAAGTTTTTAACAATACACACCTTACTGCAGTTTAGACATACTGTACAGTACCTACTATGTTAGCTGTGCTATGTTAGCTGATCTATGTAGAGACAAAGCCACTCGCTTCTGCTTCCGCCCCATTCATCACATCTACACACAAAGTTCTTTGACGTTCATTAATGTTAGCTTCGCTCATTGAAAGATTTACAAATATCATACATAACAATACAGTGAGTGGATTACTAATAAATGATATCACTGACCACCTACCAATTTTTACAACTACACTCTAAACAGACATGGTAATAAACCAATTTCCAAAAGGGTCAGGACAGAAGAAACAATGGAGGCATTAAAAGTTGATCTGCTAGCAAAAGACTGGGAGTTTATAGATAATGAAAAAGATGTTGACAAAGCATATGAAGAATTTCTAAGAATATTTAAATTATTACATGATACAAATTGTCCAATTAAAAGATATAGCAGAAAACAAAAACAAAATGATAGACCGTGGATTTCCAAGGGATTACAAAACGCCTATAAAAAGAAAAATACACTTTACAGAGAATTTATAAAACACAGAACTATAGAGACTGAAAATAAATATAAGAATAAGTTCACTAATATTATGAGAACTTGTAAGAAAGAATACTACACAAAATTATTAGATAATAATAAAATATTAAAGGTATGTGGAACATTTTAAATAATATTATTAAAAATAATACTAGACAGGCTACTTATCCCCATTACTTCATTGATAATGATAAAAATATTAATAACATGGAGGATGTGATTAATGACTTCAATAAATTTTTTGCAAACGTGGGACCAAACTTAGCTGAACAAATCCCGGTTCCACAAACAATACAAAGTAGATATAATAATCTAATAGAAAGAAATCCCAGTTCAATATTTCTGATAGCAGTAGATGAAAAAGAAATAATAGATATTGTTAAAGAATGCAAAAACAAACCATCCACTGATCACGATGGAATAGATATAAAAATTATACAAAAAGTAATAGGGGGGCTCGCCAAACCACTAATGAACATCTGCAATTTATCATTTCTAACCGGTCAATTTCCAACAAAAATTAAAATAGCAAAAGTCATTCCTCTATACAAAACTGGAAATAAACACCACTTCACAAATTACAGGCCTGTCTCTCTACTGCCACACTGCCATTTTCAAAACTTTTAGAAAAATTATTTAACAGATTAGAGCAATTCATCGATAAAAATAAATTTCTCACTGACAGCCAATATGGATTTAGAAAAAATAGATCAACATCACTAGCACTAACAGAACTCATTGAAGAAATCAAAAACTCCACAGACAAAAAGAAATATGCAGTTGGGGTATTCATTGATCTAAAAAAATCATTTGACACAATAAATCATGAAATATTAATCAGTAAACTGGAACGAATCGGGATGAGGGGGGTAGTTCTAAACTGGGTAAGTAGTTATCTGAGAGACAATTTATGAAGATGGGAGATTATGCGTCTCAGTGTCTGGGCATGGCTTGTGGTGTCCCCCAAGGGTCAGTGTTGGAACCAAAGTTATTTTTATTAACCATCAATGACATTTGTAAAGTATCTGAAGTATTGAATTTTGTATTATTTGCAGATGATACAAACATATTTGGTTCAGGGGACAGCTTACAGCAACTCTTGGAATCAATCACTTTAATTCAAGAAAATAAAAGAATGGTTTGACATAAACAGGTTATCAATAAATTTGAGTAAAACTACATTCATGGTATTTGGAAACTGTAAGTCAAACAATCAAGCACAGATACAGATAGAGGGTGTTAACATAGAAAGAGTACATGAAAATAAATTCCTTGGAGTGATCAAAGAAGCCTCACATAAAACACATCAAAACCAAACTGTCCAGAAGTGTTGCAGTCCTAGCAAGAGCCAAGCACATTCTGGATCTTAAATCATTTCACATCTTGTACTGCTCACTATTGTTACCTTATTTGAATTACTGTGTAGAGGTTTGGGGAAGTACTGATCAACAGTCACTACAGCCACAAGTCATAATACAAAAAAGAGCCATGAGAATTATTCACAACGTTGGATTTCGGGATCATACAAATTCATTATTTCTACAGTCTAAATTGCTAAAATACCATGATCCAATTGAATATCAAACTGCAGTATTCGTGTTCAAAGCAAGAAATAGCCTACTGCTTGGGAATATACAAAAGATGTTCTCTGAGAGGGAGGGAGGGTACGATTTAAGGGGAAGGGGAAATTTTAAGACTAATAGATTTAGAACAACAAGGAAAAGATTATGTTTATCAATTTGCGGAGTTAAATTATGGAACAAACTAAATGAGAACCTAAAGCAATGCCCAAACATATTCCTTTTCAAAAAAATGTACAAAGAAATTATTTTCAGGAGGTATCGAGAAGCACTGTAGTAAAAGTAGGAGTGCTACTTTGTTTGTGTTTCTTTTTTTGTCTTTTGTCTGTTGTTTAGTTTTATTGTTGTTGTATTTTTTGCTGTTTGAATAAGTACATAATCGAGGTTAGATAAATAAATACTTGTCAATGGTCACTTTAATATTGTGTATATAGAAAAAAATTATTGGATAGATTTATAAAACAACATAATAATAAATATTGTAAATTGAAGAAATGTAAGAATTAAAGGGGAAGGAGTACATAAGTTTTACTGCTTCCTACTCCTTTTCGCACACGATATAAGTATGTTAACACAGGAAAGAAGGGTACTTTGTTTGCTGTTTTTAAACATTGTTGACATCAACATCATTTTTTTTTTTTATATATACTTTCTCTTGCATGTTCGAAATAAAGATTTCAGTCACATATGCGACTTTTTGGGTTTGTGGTCTGTGTAATTATGTATTTCTCACTGTTCTCCATTCAAATCTGCGCGGTGGCTTTGTCCAGTAATACACCCTCTATGGTGGTTCACCGGAAGGGGAGGGACTTAGGTTCTCTATACCAATAGAGATAATAATCAAACAATCTGATTAATCGGTGTCTCTTTGTGTGTGTGTGTGTGTGTGTGTGAGTGTGAGTGTGTGTGTGAGAGAGAGAGAGAGAGAGAGAGTGAGAGCGAGCTCTCAGTGTATGCAAGTGTTCATGTTACGTTAGTTCCCTTTTTATGTTACGTTAACTTACTGAATATAACGTATATTGGCAAATATACGTAAAAGCAAACCGTTCACTTAATGATAAACTTGGCGCAAGTTCCCTGAAAACCTAGCATAAGTAATAATGGTTTCTTCTCGCCCGTCGACTTGAACATACCTTATCCTCGTAGTTTTTGCGGGTTCAAAGACGGAGGTGTCGTTGTCTGTGGAGGGTGTGCTGTCGAAGGCCTTCTTGCGGTTGTCAGGTGAGATCCAGGCGGACACTTTTCGCTTCTGCTTACCGTACGTCTTCAGAAATAACGGCTTTAATGGCTTCATGTTTAGAAATTACAGCTATAACCGCGCCAATAAGCCAAGGACCGCCAAGGACTGTTCAAAAGCATTTAACGTTTCTAACCCAGATGAGACCAACGTCAGTGAAGGTTAGCCAAGATAGCCAGACAGCTCGAGCTTTTGCTAACTTAACTGTTTACTGTGAATATAAAAACGCCCTTACAACGTATTAACAGTGACCGATCTAAAAAGCAGTTTTATTCCATTTCCACGATTGATAGCGCATGAATGAGAGTCCACTGGACCCGCTTCTTGTTCAAACTGCTAGACACCGATGATTGGTCAACAACCGGTGATACTGTCAGCACAGCGCCACCTGGCGGATTGGAGTAATAATAGAGCAGGAGGACAGAGAGGAAGAAAGCATGTCCTACATGTATTGTGTTTACATACATGTGTGTATGTAAACACATGTCAAGTACGTGTTTATGAAGTTGTAATATTCAAGTATATATATATATATATATATATATATAAAACTATAATATCTTTATAAGGATTAACTCATTAGGATAATTCTACATGTGGATGTGTTGTTTTATTTTGTCTTGTGCAATGGTTTTGTTTATTTCACTGCAATATGAACTAAAATTGGCTCAAAGTGAACCCATTTATATGGGCAAAGATGTGAATGCCATCTTCTGGCCTAGAGTACAGTACAGCATGACCATAAAGTGAAATTAAATATGTGTAACCACTAGATGTCATCATTTTATTACAATACCCTGTCTTGTTTGAGTCTGCATACTAAACTGCACTCACATATTTGTGATATTTTTTTAAATGTTTATGTTGCCATATTAATTTTAGACATTTAAATAAAACATTATTGGGAAATTCATTTTTGGAATGAACAGGATGTTGATGACACTGGACCACTGTAATCTCTTTGTCATAATCAGTGGGCAACTGTATTTGCATCAGATGTGGAACACGACCAATTAGTTTTAGAGGTATTTAAATTTTGACTAGAGGAAAGGTCAGGACGTCACCAAAGACACCAGGATTCATCAGGACCACAAACATCTGTACCAAATTCTCTGATAAACTGTTAGTACCCTAAGAGTCTTTCTTGAATGTCCTTTCGATGTTGTGTGATTGTTGTGTGTGATTCGTGTCCGTGTCCGTATCTGTAGCTGTGCTCTGTCAATATGCTGCAGTTTTGGCCAGGTTTCTCTTGAAAAACAGATTTTAAATGTCAATGAGATCGTCTGGTTAAATAAAGCTTAAATAAATAGAAATAAAAAATACTAAAAAATCTGTGATGTGTTTTTATGCATATGGTGGCTACTTGTGTCTTCTCAGACCTCTTTGCCTGCTGTCCAAACTGGACTATTTTAAAAAATCTTAAATTTTACTTTAAACAGTAACTACTTTCTTTTTGTTTTGCACTTTTAGACCATTAATTACAAATCATGTGTACAATTCTGCTAATTATATTTCAAAGCAAAGGTGTGTTTAATTGCTGAACTACCTTTCAGGCACCATTTGCTTCCCATTAATTTCTGTATGCTACAAAAATTATCTTGCAGAGACTTGAAGGTTCCTTGAAGATAATTCAATTACTAATCTCATGCACTCCCAGAATGGGCAATAATGAAATGCTATTCACCATTAAAGCGTGCTGACTGTGGCCTGATGATATTTGATGTAACTTGGTTTTCAGGACAAATGCACTTTTTCCCCCTTAATAAGAGAGATAAAGAAACTCCTTTAGGCGAGTTGTTTTCCTCTCCCTTTTTAGTTATTGCTGTGCTTACACAGTGAATCTAATCAGTAAATTTCTCCAAACAATAGATATGCTCATTTCAGACTAAATGCTCTTTTAGTTGTTTCTTGTCAGTAGCAATTTCAATACCTGCAATACTGAACTTAACCAAATGCTGTTATGTGTGTGAAACATGTGGTGTGTTTTTGTTGTTCAGTTTGTAGTGGCCTAGAGGAATACTAGAGAAATCAAATGTGGATGTTGCTTTACTACCCATAAATGTATTACCAATACACCAAGGCAGTAACTCAGTATGCTCCTAACATTATTATTATTATTATTATTATTATTATTATTATTAGGTCAAAAATTGGGTCATAACAATAATTACAAACTACTAATATTTATCTGTAGGCTGATATTTTGTTATTTCATGGCAGCACTTTAGGGTTTTGAGCGGGTAGTAATGATATTATCATGTTGAAAGTTTGATGTTTTTATAAACGAGCCTTCTGCCACCTGACTACTTTTGATTGTTCCTGACTTTTGAAGTAATTTAGTTATTGTGAACCACATTTCATTAAAACCAAAACTACAAAATACAGCAACAGTATTCCTCTTATACATTGTCTTATGACAGCTAATAAGTAACTTATTACTAAGTAATTACTACACGTTGTAATAGCATATATAGGCGTACTGCATTTCTGCATTAGGCCTAGGACTCACATTTGAAAACGAAATAAAAACCAAAACATAGAGAAAAACAACATTAAAGGCAGCAGTAAAGGAACCCCTATATTCATTAAATACACACATTTACTTATATAAACATACCTATGTATACACACACACACATAATATCACTATTCTATTCACTAATTCCCTGCATCCTCTCTAAGAGTTTGTATCTGTGCTGTAGTCAAAATATAGCCATGCTTGGCTATTTTTGCTGGGGGTGTTCTGCACTAGCAGCTATCTCTGCCATAAATTTAGCCCATTCTGTAATCTCTGGTCCATGTGGGCTCTTCTAGTCACTCAAAATAAGTCTGGCTGCTACTATAAAACCTGTCACCATCAGCCCAGCCTTTAGCTATTATGTTATTTTGTGTTTATTTCATATTTATAGTAATTTGTGCACATAATGTTTATATTATTTTCAAATTATGCTTGATTCTATTTATTATTCATAAATAAAACTAGTGTGTGTGTATATATATATATATATTATATTATATTATATTATTTATATATATATATATATATATATATATATTATATATATATATATATATATATATATATATATATATATATACACACACACACACACACACACAGGAAAATAAGTATTTGAACACCCTGCTATTTTGCAAGTTCCCCCACTTAGAAATCATGGAGGGGTCTGAAATTGTCATCGTAGGTGCATGTCCACTGTGAGAGACATAATCTAAAAAAAAAAAAAACAAACACAAAAAAAACAGAAATCACAATGTATGATTTTTTAACTATTTATTTGTATGATACAGCTGCAAATAAGTATTTGAACACCTGAGAAAATCAATGTTAATATTTTGTACAGTAGCCTTTGTTTGCAATTACAGAGGTCAAACGTTTCCTGTAGTTTTTCACCAGGTTTGCACACACTGCAGGAGGGATTTTGGCCCACTCCTCCACACAGATCTTCTCTAGATCAGTCAGGTTTCTGGGCTGTCGCTGAGAAACACGGAGTTTGAGCTCCCTCCAAAGATTCTCTATTGGGTTTAGGTCTGGAGACTGGCTGGCCATGCCAGAACCTTGATATGCTTCTTACAGAGCCACTCCTTGGTTATCCTGGCTGTGTGCTTCGGGTCATTGTCATGTTGGGAGACCCAGCCTCGACCCATCTTCAATGCTCTAACTGAGGGAAGGAGGTTGTTCCCCAAAATCTCGCAATACATGGCCCCGGTCATCCTCTCCTTAATACAGTGCAGTCGCCCTGTCCCATGTGCAGAAACACACCCCCAAAGCATGATGCTACCACCCCCATGCTTCACAGTAGGGATGGTGTTCTTGGGATGGTACTCATCATTCTTCTTCCTCCAAACACAGTTAGTGGAATTATGACCAAAAACTTCTATTTTGGTCTCATCTGACCACATGACTTTCTCCCATGACTCCTCTGGATCATCCAAATGGTCATTGGCAAACTGAAGACGGGCCTTGACATGTGCTGGTTTTAGCAGGGGAACCTTCCGTGCCATGTGTGATTTCAAACCATGACGTCTTAGTGTATTACCAATAGTAACCTTGGAAACGGTGGTCCCAGCTCTTTTCAGCTCATTGACCAGCTCGTTCTGGGCTGATTTCTCACCTTTCTTAGGATCATTGAGACCCCACGAGGTGAGATCTTGCATGGAGCCCCAGTCCGAGGGAAATTGACAGTCATGTTTAGCTTCTTCCATTTTCTAATGATTGCTCCAACAGTGGACCTTTTTTCACCAAGCTGCTTGGCAATTTCCCCGTAGCCCTTTCCAGCCTTGTGGAGGTGTACAATTTTGTCTCTAGTGTCTTTGGACAGCTCTTTGGTCTCGGCCATGTTAGTAGTTGGATTCTTACTGATTGTATGGGGTGGACAGGTGTCTTTATGCAGCTAACGACCTCAAACAGGTGCATCTAATTTAGGATAATAAATGGAGTGGAGGTGGACATTTTGAAGGCAGATTAACAGGTATTTGAGAGTCAGAATTCTAGCTGATAGACAGGTGTTCAAATACTTATTTGCAGCTGTATCATACAAATAAATAGTTAAAAAAATCATACATTGTGATTTCTGTTTGTTTTTTTTAGATTATGTCTCTAACAGTGGACATGCACCTACGATGACAATTTCAGACCCCTCCATGATTTCTAAGTGGGAGAACTTACAAAATAGCAGGGTGTTCAAATACTTATTTTCCTCACTGTATATATATATAGGTATATTTGATATATATATAACTATATATATTTCAAATATACCTATATCTTCTGTCACTTTGATCTGGAATATCAGGAAACAGCACTACTGATTGTGCACATAATACTGTATTATACCCACAGGTCTAGGGTATTGCCATTCTAACATATCTACGATTTATAAGCTTTCCTATATATCTGTATCCTGTTCCTACCTATCCTACCTATCTGGCCTGCATAAGGAACAATAACATTTTCTATCTTTATCTTCGTCTTGACTATGTTTAATAATTGTCAATTTATCAGGAGGGGGGAAGGGGGGCATTTTTAAAAAAAATTACCTTTTTTTGTTAGCTGTAACATTAGTCTACCACCGAATTTAAGGCAGTTATCTGTAGCACCACTGTAGGATACAGTAGGTAGACTGACTGTATGGTAATGGAATAAGGCCATAAGGCAGTAATGGGAGTGTTAACAAAAAATGACAGAGGAGCGTTTGCTTCCGGAGCAGCGTCCCCCGGTTCCCCCTGTCGGAGAACAGCGGCAGCGGAGGGAGGGGGGAAAGGGACAAGCCGAGAGAAAGCGGAGGGGAGGAGAAAAATAAGACAGGAGCGCAGCGAGGAGGACGAGAACACGCCAGAGAAGAGGTGAGTGATGTGGTGTGGCAAGCCGAGAATAATCGCTTGAATGCGAGGAGCCGCGGCTGTCGCAGTCTTCCTCAGCCTTGAATTGAGCGGAGACGTGAGTAACTTTCCATATTCTATTGAGCGACGCATTGCTTTGGCATCCGAGGGCCCCGCTGTGTTGCAAACAAGTCGGGAAGGTGGGGGAGAGGAGACTGTGAAGCTGCGGCGGCATATTTACGGGACCCAGCGTGTGTCCCCTTTGAGTTTATTGTCAGATATTTAGTTCTGCTCTTGGTGGCCGTTGAACGGCTCCTCTCGTGGTGTCCGTTTATGAAAACAAGCGTTACTGGAACGTTGTCGCAACCGCTTTGGTTAGCTAACGTTACGTTACCTACTAACGTTACAGCTCGACTGCTGTGTCTGGGATTTAATGGTGGAAAACGCTTCAATGTGGATAAAACAGACCTGTAAAGTAACATTTCATAAACCTCACGACTCTTAAACTTGTGCGGCAGGTAAGTGGTAAACTGCCCACCAGTCGGCCATTCATCAGACCAACCATTAGACATAAAGGAAAGCGTTCATTTAACGTTAGCCTCTTAACTGTTGGTTAAGTAGATCTATGCGTCTTACAATGCTTTTGAGATGTCAATTCATGACATGATGTCTACATTTCTCAAAACTCAGATTAACCTTCCACTCTTTCTCCACCAGTGAGTTGAAGTTTACTTCAGCTATTTGTGCTCACCAAGTTAAATATTGTATTTAAGTTAGACCCACCAATCTGAATACATTGGTGAAGCCTGTTGGGCTGCAACTACTATTTTTTCTATTATTTATTTATTTATGTTTTCCATTAATAATAGTGAGTATCTCAAGACAGAAACTAGTTAAATTGGATGTTTTGCCTGACCAAAACCCAAAAATACTTAAATGTTCAGTTATATCTAGTGAAAAGCATCAAACACCCTTTGAATGTGAGAAGCTAGAACTGTCTGTCTATTTTTATCAATTCATAAACAGTTAATCTATTATCCAAATTTTCTGTCACTTGATCAATCGGTTGACTAATTGCACTATAAGCCTGGCACTTTATCCTAGCCTTTGGTTCCCGTTCAGAGACACTCCAGCTCCTGACTCATGGCCCTGTCCTGTGTCTTGTCCCGTGGAGGTCTCTGCGCTGTGCTACAATTTAAGTAATAAAGAGGTTCATTGTGAAACAAACAAGCATAAAGGAGGGTATTCTCTTGACTTGTGCACATTACGTGGAATAGTCTGGAGCTGTAAGCAATGCTGGCCCCTGGGGGTTGAGGCTCAGGCTTGTATTGGTGCACGGGGCTGGCTGGACTTGGCTAGCTAATCGTTTCCAGCCTTGCTCTGGTCGTTTCTGCCAGCCCCTAAAGATAATACGCCTGTTTGTTTTATAAGATCATGGAGCCACTTAATAGCTTGTTTATGTTGTGTGATTTAAGAAATCCTGAGAATCATGTGAAAAACCTTCTTGTTTTATTTTCTTCGAGGAAGGAAGGCAACAACAGAGTTCAGATATGCCAATGATTGTGATAGAAAGGAAAGTAATGATTGTAGACTTTTCCTTTCAAACCCGTTTACTTCAGGTGAGTGCTGATTTTAGTTCCATAAAGACTGGCTTCGTTGTTGTGTAGTTAAGTTTAACCAGGTGTGAACCAGCCCAGAATATTATGTGTCTGTGGAGGGAGAAGGAACACTTGAGTTGTTTACAATAACATGAAGTACCAAAGGGACCGGTCTGCTGTTTTTGGATTTCACCTCCGGGGTTTCTCTCTCTCCATGTCTCCCTGCCTGTCCCTCCTGGTGACACCGGCTCCTGTGCGTTTTGTTTTGCATCACATTTGCATGGATGCATGTGCTTCCTTGTGTGCACATTCAGCAGGCGTGTTACGAAGCGGCCTTGTCGGAAGGCGCAACGAGGAAAACGTGGAATGATTGGCATGTTTTGAATCTGAAATCCTGTTTTAGGCCGTGGTTGTGGAGATTTTATAAGGTTGACGCTGCGGCATTGGTTTGATGAAGTTATTAGTGCAATCTACAAGAATGAAAGACTGTGAAACACAGACTGCCACCAGAGTTGAAATGGTGCACTGTCATCCTCTCTCCTCCTGCCTGCCTGCCTTGCCTCCCTCCCCTCTCTATCCTTCCAGCCTCCTTGCCCCTGCTGGCCTGCTCTTCATCCAGACCTGGGCCCGGTCAGCTGTGTGTGTGTGTGTGTGTGTGTGTGTGTGTATACATGATGTCATTGCTAATTGCTTAGGGCTCTTGGGCTGTTAAGTTGGTTTATATTCTGCCCCTCTCCTCTCTTTTCACTTCATTACTCTTTCCCTCTTTACTCTCCCTCCCTCTTGTAGCATTTCTATACAACATCAGGAGTTGCTGAGTATGGAAAAAGTGACTTGGACATTTAGTGGCCGAGTTTTGGGCCAAGCACTGCAGGCTGTTCTAGTGTGCTTGTGTTTGTTTCGCTGTGGTTTTATGAAAGTGCCTCAGTTTCAAGATGGCCCCTCTTCTGTTGAGGAGGCTTCCATCACCTCTGTCAGAGGGGAAAATAAAGTAGGCTCATACGCATTTAACCGTACTGCACACACAGTGCACATGTACAAGGACAGAAATAGCAATTCAGTAATGTAAGCTGTCACCTTGTGAATCTGTGAGCATGTCAGACACCCCAAAATACCCTGCGATATCTCAGCTAGCCCCAAAGTGCACTACATAATAATAATAATAACTTATATTTATATAGTGCCTTTCACGAGACCCAAGGACGCTTTACACATAATTGTAGAGACAGAGCAACAAAAAGTCATTCAGGGTTGAATGCCTTTGTGAAGAGGTGGATTTTTAGGAAGGAGCATTTCGGATCTCTGTGGGGATGGAGTTCCAGAGGGTGGGGGCTGCGATGCTGAAGGCTCTGTCCCCAAAAGTCTGCAGTCTGGTGTGGGGGACAGAGAGCAGGCCCTTGTCGGTGAACCGCAGGTTCCGTGAGGAGGAGTAGGGGTGGAGAAGGTCCAGTAGGTACGGGGGGCAGTGGCATGGAGAGATTTATAGGTGAGGAGTAGAATTTTGTAGGTGATGCGGAATTTGACCGGGAGCCAGTGAAGCTGAGTGAGGATTGGGGTGATGTGCTGCCATGACCTAGTGTGTGTGAGAACCCTGGCAGCCGAGTTCTGGACATATTGTAGCCTGTCCAGGACCTTGCTATGTACCCCATACAGGACACCATTACAGTAGTCCAGGCGGGAGGTGATGAAGCATGGATGAGAGACTCTGCCACAGAGTCTGAGAGTGATGGTCGAAGTCTGGAGATGTTTTTGAGGTGGTAGAAAGCAGATTTGGTAGTGAGTTTGACATCTGACTGGAAGGAAAGGGTGGAGTCCAATATGACACCAAAGTTGCGGACTTCTTGGGATGGAGAGATGGAACAACCATCCACTTTGAGGAGTAGATCACTTACCCTCAGGAGCAGCGGTTTGGGTCTCTACAGATTGGATGTAATTATGCTGGCCAGACTATAAATTTATGTATGTGTGTGTGTTGGTGTTGGGACTTTCTTGCCTTGCAGCACCAACCTGTTAGTCTGTGTGTAGTCGAGGTCACGCTCAACAGCTGACGAGAAAGGATGGTGAAAGTGTGCAAGTGGGTACATGCTTGTGTGACTCATGTGTGTTTCTGTGTGTGTGTGTGTGAGCAATCAGATAAAGAGCACAGAGATCCGTTATCGCCACCCTGCTTCCCCTGTGAAACAATACCACTGGACTGCCCTTGACCAAACTAGTGTGGGGGTGTGTGTGTGTGTGTGTGTGTGGGGCATGAGCATATTTGTGTGTGAGTGTGAGTCTGACCAGATTGGACAGATGAATGATGAATTAAGGACAGCAGAGTAGATTCATCCCAGGCTGCCCAGTTGGCAAGATAACCAGCCTGCAGTTTGTTTGTGTGTATATTTATGTGTGGTGGTGGTGGTCGGAGAGGCTTTGTGTGTGTGTGTGTGTGTGTGTGTGTGTGTGTGTTGTCAATCTTTTTCTCAATCTCATTCTCTTCACTTTCTCTTTCAGCCCCCTATCGATGCCTCTCAATAGGGTTATTATGCCCACTGTCAGGCAGGCAGCTGTGTGTGTGTGTGTGTGTGTGTGTGTGTGTGTGTGTTCATGCGCATTGTTGTTGCAGGGAGCAGACAGCCGTGAGGTGTGTTTGAACAGAAAAGGAGTACAGAGGCCCTGTTCATCGTGTAGGGTGTGAAACTGAATGATAGGGCCCCCTTTCTCTCTTTCCATCTATCCCTCGGTCTGTCTCATTCTTTCCCTCCCTTTTTGACAGTTTTTCACCCACATACTTGATCCTCATCGCTTTCTTTCTTCTGTAAAGTTTAACTTGGCGTCTTTGTTTTCTTTCTTTGTGTGTGTGTGTGTGTGTGATCGCTGCCGTGTAATGTGTCAGCTCCTGGCAGTCCTCACTGATCGGCTGTCTTCTTGCTGTCAAGTCCGCCTTGTGATTGGATCGTCAGTATGTGTGTTATTCTGCCTACTAATTACCTGTGGAAGCAGGCCAGGATGGACAGGCTTTCCACTTTTAAATGGAACTCCACACATAGACGCAGGTTTATACACTTGGTGCACACATAAACAATTTTCTCTTTTGTTTATATGTTTCCGTTTCTGATGTTGTCTTTTCCATATTGCTGCACTTTCACACGTATACCCCCATTACTTCCAGTTCAGCTGCATAAGGTCTCTCTCTCTCTCTCTCTCTCTCTCTCTCTCTCTCTCTCTCTCTCTCTCTCTCTCTCTCTCTCTCTCTCTCTCTCTCTCTCTCTCTCTCTCTCTCTCTCTCTCTCTCTCTCTCTCTCTCTCTCTCTCTCTCTCTCTCTCTCTCTCTCTGAGACCTTCCCCTCATACTGTTTCTGACTTTCAAACACATCGGCGTACACTTTAAAAGCCAGAATGTGATGCAAGCGGCTGTAAAGGCCGGAGCCTTTGTTAACTGGTCGA